TCCATTCTATTCCAAAGGTTAGGGCTAGTTTGTTATCTCCATTCCAAGGTCACTACTCTACTGTTCTGTTAAGCTACAAGGAAGTAACTGAAGGAGATTATCCTAAGTAAACATTATGTAGCTTAAGCGTGATCATAGTTAAGGTGATTAACTACCCGCCTGGCACTTAGTTAAGGGGTTTTACTGATTTAGTCCCTTCCTTAGTCCTGTTAATCCCTAACTCCAGGGAAAAATCTCCACCTGAGGAAACAACCTTTCTCGGGGAGGTGGCCCTGGTTAGAACACATACCGCTAAGAAGGGGAAGCAAACATATTAAGAACAGTATGCCAGGTCCCTTGAAACATATGCTGTGCAGATGTTTCTTCCCTGCAGCAACTATGTCAAGCAGCAAGGATGGACTGGCTTCTGGCACAGTTCTATCCAGTTGTTTTTGCAGGTAACAGAAACCTATCTAAGCTAATATCAGCCCCAAACAGGGGAATGTCCTAGAATGCTCCTGGGTTATATTGTGGACTTATAAGACAGGGATACAGCCCTAACCAGTTTGGCTCAGTGGATACAGCATCGGCCTGTGGACTGAAGGGTCCCAGGTTCGATTCCGGTCAAGGGCATGTACCTTGGTTGTGGGCACATCCCCAGTGGGGATTGTGCAGGAGGCAGCTAAATCAATGTTTCTAACTCTCTATCTCTCTTCCTCTCCCTTCCTCTCTGTAAAAAAATCAATAAAATATATATTTTTTAAAAAGACAGGGATACAGATGGACCTCAGTAACCATCTGGCTGGCACAGTTTCCAATTAAGAGACTGCTTTGTTAATTATTTCTCTGTAATTTTTTTTTCTTTCTGGCTACTTTCAAGGTATTTTCTTATCTTTGTTTTTAGTACTTTGACTATGATATGCTTAGGTGTGTGTGGTTTTTTTTGTGTTTATCCTGTTCGGTGTTCTCTGAGCTTCATGGATCGGTGATTTGTTGTCTTTCATTAATTTGGGAAATTCTCAGTGATTATCTCTAGACATTTCTTCTGCCCCATTTTCTCTCCCTTCTTCTTCTGGGACTTCAATTACACACATGTTAGACCATTTATCATTGTCAGATACATTTTGCTTAGTTTTGGATTTGCATGATTGTTTGCTTGCTTTTACTCTTTGTGTTATAGTTTAATTTCTATTGATCTAGCTTAAAGTTATAGATTTTTTTCTTCTGCTTTTGTCCAGTTTGCTGATAAAACTGTTCAAGGAATCCATCTCTATATTAAGGTTTTCACTTGTAGCTTTCTATTTTTCCATTTCATTTTTACAATTTCCTACTCCCTGTTCACACATATTGTCCATATTTTCCACTAGTCTAGATCCTTTAATGTATTAAATACTAGAGGCCTGGTGCACAAAAATTTGTGCACTCGGGGAGGTCCCTCAGCCAGGCCTATGCCCTCTTGCAGTCTGGGACCCCTCGGGGGATGACCACCTGCTGGCTTAGGCCCACTTCCTGGGGGATTGGGCCTAAGCTGGCAGTCAGATACCCCTCTGGCAGCCCAGGAGCCCTCGGGGGATGTCCACTTGCCAGTGGGGAGCAGGCCTAAGCTTCAGTCGGACATCCTTAGTACTGCTGAGGAGGCGGGAGAGGCTCCCACCACCACCGCTGTACTGGCAGCCGTCAGCCTGGCTTGTGGCTGAGCAGATCTCCCCCTGAGGGAGCGCACTGACCACCAGGGGGCATCTCCTGCATTGAGCATCTGTCCCCTGGTGGTCAGTGTGTGTCATAGTGACCAGTCATTCCCAGTTGTTCTGCTGTTAGGGTCAGTTTGCATATTACCCTTTTATTATATAGGATAGAGGCCTGGTGCACAGGTGGGGGCCGGCTGGTTTGCCCTGAAGGGTGTCCCGGATCAGGGTGGGGGTCCTGCTGCGGTGCCTGGCTAGCCTGGGTGAGGAGCTGAGGGCCGTTTTCAGGCTGGCCACACCTCCTTCAGGGTGGGGGTCCCCTCTGGAGTGCCTGGCCAGCCTGGGTGCGGGGCTGAGAGCCGTTTTCAGGCTGGCCACACCCCCTTCAGGGAGGGGGGTCCTGCTGGGGTGCCTGGCCAGTCTGGGTGAGGGGCTGATGGCTGTTTGCAGGCTGGCCAAGGCCCCCAGTGGGGACCCTCACCCATGAGGGTCTGGCCATCCTGGGTTAGTGGCTGATGGCTGTTTGCAGGCTGGCCAAGCCCCCCAGCGGGGACCCTCACCCCATGAGGGTATGGCCATCCTGGGTGAGTGGCTGATGGCTGTTTGCAGGCTGGCCATGGCCCCCAGCCACCCAAGCTCCCAGTGGAGGCTGGCTGGAAGCAGGTATCTGGGATTTATTTATCTTCTGTAATTGAAACTTTGTTGCCTTGAGCGGAGGCCACAGCCAGCCAGGGCAGGCGGGAAGCTTGGCTTCCTCCATCGCTGGGGCAACCAAACCTCCTGCTTGGTCCAGCTCCGTGGCTGCCGGCCGCCATCTTGGTTGGGTTAATTTGCATATAATCACTCTAATTGGCTGGTGGGCGTGGCTTGGGGCATAGCGGAGGTGCAGTCAATTTGCATGTTTCTCTTTTATTAGATTAGATAGCTATTTAAAAGTCCCCAATTGATAGTTACATCTAAGTCATGCTCATATTCTCTTTTTGAGATGACTCCTCCATTCATGGAGTCATGCTCATCCTTTTTCTAATTTTTTCCAAGTTGCCTCCCCAGTACATAGGACACACCAGACTCCACATGGCTTTCCTCCCCCAGCCTCTTTGGCTGGATTGTTTACAAAAGTTTTGATTCCTTCCACTTCATCCAGGTCTCCTTGAAGATCACAGTGAGGGCTAAAGTAGACCTGTCCCTCATGTACCTTCCACATTAATGTTAGTTTCTCATCTTTGGAGGTTCCAAGATAAGCAGAGCTATGGCCAACCCCAAATCTGGCTTGAAGAACTATGCCAAAAAATATTCCTTTCTATGCCCTGGGTTTCCTGAGCTTTTCTGAGGGTGGAGGCATACCAAATATATAAACTTTGCTCTGGAAAAAAAATGAGGCACATATATAAACTCAAGAACCTCATTGCTAGAAAAGCACTATATATATCTATATATCTCCTTGGTTTTCAACCCTCTTGGCTTCACAGCTTAAACCATCCAGGCCTTCTTGGCTTTTAAGGAGATGAATTGTTGGCAAAGCAGGAGAAGAACCTATCAGATACTGTGCTTGTTTGACAGAGAGCTTGCTAGAGGACATGCAGAAAGCCAAAGTCCATCATCACCAGAGCAAGTTTAGCCACTAAGCTACTTAAGCACAGTTCCAAGAGCATATGAAACATGTAAAAATGTTACTGTGGTTTTTTTAAAAAAAGTTACTGGTTTCAAAATACAAAATATATTTAAAATATGTATATATAATTAAGTGTTTAGAAAACATAGAATTGCCAGTTTCATTACACTGTCAAATTTAATATTCAAAATATTCTTATTACATTTATTAAACATGTTAGATTTTATATCTATGTTGAAAAGTCACAGCCAACTACACATTAAAAACACTTACTCATAGCCAGTTAATTTCCAAAGCAGAGTTATAAAAAAAATTCTTTCAAATTATTTCAAACCATACATTGAGCATGAGGCCATTTTAATGTTGGATACAATTGGTGTGAGGCCTCCAAAAAAGAATAAGTCTAGAGCAGTAAAGGCGAACCTTTTGAGCTCAGCGTGTCAGCATTTTGAAAAAGCCTAACTTAACTCTGGTGCCGTGTCACATATAGAAATTTTTTGATATTTGCAACCATAGTAAAACAAAGACATACTTTTGATATTTATTTTATATATTTAAATGCCATTTAACAAAAAAAAATCAACCAAAAAATGAGTTCGCGTATCATAGGTTCGCCATCACTGGTCTAGAACCTGAAAAGCTAGAAAGGGCCCTTTGCTGCCACAGCTGTACTGTGTGACCTGCATCAGAATGCCTCTTACCTTCCTCCCCGCCACCCCTCCACCCTGTCCCCCGCCCCCAACTAGGCTTTCCTTGCAATAATGTTAAGCTGTGGCTCAGAAATCAAATCCTACTCAAGCATCATTCAAGAGCCAGTGGTTCATATCCTTTTCTTTCTTCCAGACTCTCAACCTTAAGCTGGAAGCAAAAATGGCACCATTCCTGAGAAACAGAATCACTGGATTGCAGGTTCTCTAAGGATAGAGTCACTTCCCAGTTAAGGTTTTATTATGCCTAGTCCCTGGGCTGGGGCTGGCTGGGGGAGTAGAGAAGGAGGGGGAGAGTGGAGGCCCAGTGAGAGCTGAGACAGATGGCCGTGTGCTAGGAACAGTGAGGGTGGGACAGTGCTCTTTAGCTGAATGAACTAAGGAAAGTAGTGTCTTAACTGAACAGACAGACAGTTGCCAGAGATGGCCTCCTTAGCCCACACCATCTAGATGTGGAACCTCCATATCTCCATTTCTGCCACTGTTGCCATCACTCTTGAGACTCACTTTGCCTCCCATACAGTGACACTTGGCTCTGACTTGCATGCGATATTTCCTTTTGTTTTTATCCTTTGTGCTTTCATGCTAATCATCAGTATTTCAGTTATTTATTTGTCCATGTCTTTGATTAATTTAAGAGTTCCTCACCCCTACTGCGTGCCAGGCACTAATCATGGCCATCTCAGCCTCCTGGCTCCCGAAAGACAGAGACAACACTTGGGGAATCTTCTCTGTTTGGTGTCCAGGTCAGTGGCCAGGTGGTCATGGACCTGGTTTCAAACATCAGTGGGGAAGATGTAGGTTTCAGCAATGAGACAGAAAAATTTAAAAATAAACATAGCACTATTTTATTAAAATATACAGTTTGGGGAGTGGAGGAGGAAAGTAGAATTTCTCAAAGTTCTAGGACTACTTAGCAACATCCCTGGTGTTTGTTGAAAAAACACCAGCTGGGAACCTGAATTCGTGACAAGCTGCCATGTGATTGTAGTCACCCTAAAGTTTGGGAATCACTGGCTACGGGATGGAGTGGGGACTGTGATTGTCTCGATCCTTCTGGCTTTTCAGGGTTCCAGGGAGGGACTCGCTTGACTTTTTATGAACAAGTTCAGCAGACTCATTTGAAAGCTCCAGGTGTTCCTTTCTGTGGGTGGCCGAGACACTGAAAGAGTTAATACAGTTACAGGTCAGGGAGCAGCAGACAAGGCCCAAGAGCTTCCCGGGTCTTCTCTGGGAGACGAGTGCAGGGCTGGGCCCAGACGTGGCCTGCACATGGAGCTGCCTAACACACATTGCTGCCACATTCCAGGGGCTCTGCTTCTCTTCTTGTGAGTCTGCCTCTTGTCTCACATCACGGAATACTTCCCTTTTCCCTCCCCTTACACTTCCCTGCTTCTTCCTACCCATCTCCATCGCCATCTAATCTCCTTCCCAGAAACCAAGTGATCAGCCCTCTATCTGCAGCATGTTGGATATCTGTGTGAATTTGCACTTGCTGCATCTCGGTGCACACATGTGAACCACTGTGAACTTCAGCTGTGCAGGAATAGGCCCTGAGCAAGGAAAGGCAGTCAGAGTGAAGGCTAGGATTCTTCTCCATCTGCAGACAGCGTGTGGTATATACAGGCATGTTGCCGTCTTACCTGTCAGAGAGAGCCCAGGGGAGATGCTTGTGAGGCAAAGCAGGAAATGATCTTGAAGGAGGGGTCTAGTGTTTTTTGAGGGACATGGTCTTCCTAGTGTCCCAAATCCCAGAGGGAAGATGAAGAGCCCTTCCCCACAGGCTGAGAGGACACCTCAGCAGGCCTGAAATGAGGCAGGCTGTCAATGCCAGGCAGATTAGGAAAATGGAGCAGTCAGCATGAGGTCAGTGGTCCTAGTTATGAAGCTAGACAGGGCTGTGAACCGGACAGCACAGCCAGGGAAGCTGGTGAGGTCAGCAGGACCACCAAGACGTGAATGACCTGGAACCACAGCAGGCAGACTTGAGGATTCATGGTGGGCCAGGAGCACATGGCCAAAGAGAAGGTGCACTTTGGGGAGTGGAAGCAGTGTGTGTCCCCAGAGGGGCACACAGAGTACTCACAAAGAAAGCAGCATGACCACTCCCTCCACTCCCCCCCCTGCTCCCCCCCCCCCCCCCCACACACACAGGCAGCAGTAGCCTGGGCAGCAGCATAGAACTTCTGTTGAAGAGTGGCAGGTCCTCATAGCACAATAACAGGATCCCAAGACAATGTAGGGAGCCCCCACACTGAAAGGTTAAGGACCAGCCTGACACTCAGGTAGGTGGTGCCAACCTGGGATGTGGATAAAGAAGACCAAAGAAGCAGGGCTTTGCCTGTACACCTGGTAGTGAGAGAAAGTGAATAAACTTGTATAGAGTTGGAAAAAGGGGAAGAAAATTGTATTCACCTAAATTCCCCTAGAAACGGAAAGCTGTCTTTGCTGGGAACAATATTTTGATAAGTGCTTAAGCCTGAAACTGAGATCCCAGGGGAGGCCTGGGTGTGGGCGGGAACAGCTTTGCATGAGACAGGAAGGAGTTTTTGAATTCTGCATATTATACCAAAGAGAGAGGGGGAGAAAAGAGGCTGCTGTTTGGTGTTGTTCACTGTGAATCCCTTTCCACATCACTCCCTAAAATTTTCCAAAAGTTACTAACATCATTAAATGCCTGGGGTCAAATAGAGTATGCACCCTTGATATTTATGTGCACAAATAGGGTGTGCCAAAAATATATACACACACTTTGAGTAATTATAAAGGCAGTGTTTATTAAAATACATTTCATTTTCAAAACTGAGCTATCAGCTGTTAAAGTGTGTATACATTTTTGTGTGGCACCCTGCATTTATGTGTGTGAGAACAACAAAGGGATTGGGAGCCTCCGATTCAAACAGATGCCAAGTAGAGCCCAGACACTGGCAGGGATGTAGAGGGAGAAGAGAAGAGACACCACCATGGGGCCACCTTAAGCAAGTTTAGCCAAATCTCAGGGGGGTGGGGCCTCATTTGACTTCTGGATTACTTCATTCTGCCACAGTGTTGTTTTGGTTGTTCTCAATTGTGTGTGCTACATCCAAATTAACTCACAATAACAATCACACACACACACACACACACACACACACACACACACACACACGCCTTGGAAACTCTCCAGAAGTTGTATCTATGTACGAGGTGGGTTATAATGCTAATGTCCAGTTGGGACTCTCAGGCCCACTTCAGAGTGGAAGCCTAGCCAAGGATCAGCCTTCTTTGATGCTGCCATGCTACCCTGTCTTACCTGAGTCCCTGTCTGGAAGATGGCAGCAGCACCAGCATGTTACAGCTCTTAGTCTGGTTATGTCTAGACTGGCAGACATCAGTGCCCTATCCCTGTCATAGATCTTTTGTTCTTTGTTTGCTTTTTTAATCCTCACCCGAGGATATGTTTATTGATTTTTAGAGAGAGAGAAAGGGAGAGAGGAGAGAGAGAAACATCGATTGGTTGCCTCCTGTATACGCCCTGCACAGGGATCAAATCCACAACCTTTTCTGGTGTCAGGATGATGCTCCAACCAACTGAGACACCTGGCCAGGGCCCTGTCAAAGATCTTTAATTGGGGCAGGGCCAGGGCCACAGGAAGCAGCTGGGATTGGCCATCTATTTTTTATTATTTATTTATTTAATTTGCGGGGGGGGGGGGGTTGGGGGGGGGTTGGTCATCTAGAAAGGCTACTTGAGCCCTGGCCTAGTAGCTCAGTTGGTTGGAATGCCATCCCTATTTGCTAAAGTTGTGGGTTCCATTCCCTGTCAGGGCACATACAAGATTCAACCAATGAATGCATAAATAAGTGGAACAATAAATTGATGTCTCTCTCTCTCTTTCTTTCTCTTTCTTTCTCTCTCTCTCTCTCTCCCCCCTCTCTCTTCCTTCCTCTCTCTCTAAAAATCAATCAATCAATTACAAAAAAGTGAGAAAGGCTGCTTAAAGAGCTTTAGGTCTTCAATAGTGACATCTTCAAGCCAAGAGAGGCAAAGGAGAGTTGAATCTTCCTAACCAGAAAAGCTGATTGTTGGCCTGCTAAATCCTGCCTCCCTCCCCTCAGCTGCTCTTCCCAGGGACAGTCCTTGAAGGCCTTAAGGAAATGACAATGCCAAAGACAGGCCCAGGCCCAAATCTCAGGTTTACCATGTGATTCTTGGTCTCCCTCATCCATCCATTCTGCATCTGACTCTCTTTGAAAACAACCCCCAGTCCTAGGGTGAGCTACAGCTCTTGAGCAATTCATGGGCAGCCCAGGAAACAAGTAGAAGGAAAGACTTCTGGAGTGATCTTCTGAGACGCCATGGAGAGTCCCTTGAGAAAACTAGATTGGTATTGGCGTGGGGACCCAAGCTGATGGCTCATGAGGCAGGCAAGCTTGGCTGTCTGATGTGACATGATAAACTAGGTCATTGTTAATGTTTGGAAAGAGACATCTTGGGTCAATGGATAGAGACAGTGTGTACTCTTGCCCCCACCCTTGATGTGCAGATCTTCCTGAATCCAGATTAACCACCCAGCCTTGCCCCGTACCAGGCCTTGAGGGACATCAAGCTTTTATGGTAGGAGGAATGCACATCCAATGCCAATAGCCGGGGAACATCTGGGCATCCCCCTAGCTGGTCCCAGGACAGGCTGACAGGGGTCTTCTTTACTATTGGGTGACTGGAGGAGGCCACATCAGTCTTCCAAACAGTCTCCATCTGGTTCCTCCGTGGGCTGGGGGTGGAAAGTGTAAAAAAGAGACAAAGAGTTAGACATACAGAGAGAAAGATTGAGAAGCAACAGCTCTCCAGGGCCACAGGCTCAAGACACTTCTTCCCTTCCCAAATAGTTGTCACTTCCCTCCTCGTTACCTCTCTTCCCCTTAACTCTGTGTCAGTTCCCTGGGGCTTCTTTGGCTGAGGAGTGGCTGGAAGAGGTCCCTGTCCTTCCACCCCCCCCACCCCCCCACCTCCGGCAGGCACATGTCCTGGAGCTGAAGCCCTGAACTGGCCATACTAGGTGTAGATGTGGGTCTTGTTGGCTGCCCAGAGACTCACAGCATCTCTTTTTGAGCTCAGGGGGTGGGGGAGAGGGGCGGCGGGGGTGGGGGGGTCACAAGGTGGGAATGATCAGGCTTGTTTATATTGGATGAACCAATGGCAGGTGCTGGGCCAATGCTCAGGGTAGAAATGGTTGTAAGTTCTCAGCTGTGGGTCCTCGGAATCTTTCTATTGCATAGTTTGAAACATATTTGGTTAGGCTGGTCCCTGAAACCCACACTCCACTCCCACCCCCCACACTCGCTCACCCCCCACCGTTTGAGCCAAAGGCCTGAGCTGAGCAGGGCAGCTGAGAAGACAGGTGCCTTGCAATTCATGGGGTGAGCTTTGCCAGCCTCCCCAGGCTGGCCACTCCTGCTCCCTGCCTCCACACCCATCCAGCTGGCTGTGCCCTTGGTTTCCCTGCACCTACCGGGCCATCCGCAGAGGCATACATTTCTGGTTCTTGGATGGAAGATGCTCTGGGGGCTGCTTGCAGAAGGGGCTGCTAGAGTGGACACGCCGGAGTAAGGAGGGGGGCGGCTTGCTTTTCCTTGAATTTGGGGAGGTGACCACAGGGGTGTGCAGATGAATGTTCCATTCCAGCTTGAGCTAGAGAAACCAGCAGAGAGGCATCAGGAGACAGGAATTCATTCCCTCTCTAAGATAGGAGCGGCATTGCCTAACTCAGGGCTGAGCAGAGAGGGATGAGACCCAGGGAAGGCCTCTAAATAGAAGCCCCTGGGACCCCAATGTATCAACTTTCCTAGAAATTACTTGAATTCTTATTTGCTAGATTAGTTCCTGTTATTTCCTTTGCTGTGGAGAATCTGAACAATGAGTAAAACAGTGAGAAAACACACACACACACACACACACACACACACACACACACACACACACACACACAAAGGAAGCCAGAGCAGCTGGAACTCCTGAGGCACTTGCAGGGTTAGTGACATGGGACCAGGCTGCGCCTGGATGCTCCGGGGAACTTTTCATCCAGCCCCGACCCAGGCACTGGGCAAGGAGCTGGGGGATTCCTCACAATCACCAAAAGAAGTCATATGGTCCCTTTCCTCTCGACTTTAAAACCAATTTAGTAATTAAGATACTTACAGGACATGATTGGGACTAGTATAAGATGCTAGGAAACTGAGTTGGGAGATAACCTCCATGGCCAAAGGTCTTCCAGCTGCCTGCTGCTGGCACTTACACAGAGTCCCTCAGCACACTGCCTCCCCCAGACTGAGGCCACTGCTTTCCGGACTCAGGGGCTTACCTCCTGGCCCAACCCTAGGGGAGATCCCAGCAGGTTTTGAGTCACTGCTATGGGATTCTTCAATCCCTCCAAGCCCTGGTCTAGCCCCTTGGGGACCATGTCAGCTGCCCCAGTAAGAGGGAAGGAGTAAAAGAAGCTCACGCCAGCCTTCAGAGAGTAAAGATGGGTCAAACCCAAAGGATTGGGACTCAAAATGACTTTAGACTCTCAATAGCAACACCAAAACCTAGAAGGCAATGAGCAGTGTCTTCAAAATCATGAGGGAAAATGAATTCTAACCTAGACTTCCATATTAAGGCAAACTGTTGATTCAGAATGAGGGTAGAGCCTGGCTGGCATGGCTCAATAGTTGAGCATTGACCTATGAACCAGGAGGTCATGGTTCCATTCCCAGTCAGGGCATATGCCCAGGTTGTGGGCTCCAGCCCCAGTGTGGGGCATGCAGGAGGCAGCCGATCAATGATTCTCTCTCATCATTGATGTTTCTGTCTCTCTCTCCCTCTCCCTCTTTGAAATCAATAAAAATGTATATTTTTTTTAAAGAATGAGGGCAGATACTAACTAAAGATGTTTTCAGACAACCAGGGACTCAGTGATTTCACCTGCCAGGCACCCTTGGTCAGGAAGTGACTGGAGGAGGTACTGCAGGAAAGAGAGACCTAGAAAGCAACAGAGCTGTTCCCAGAGAGAAGCAAAGCAAGTCTCCAGCACGATGGGAAAGACAGTGGTGACCAGGTCTGGAGAACTCATAGGATCAGGGCAGAGAGACCCACAGGGAGGGAGAAACAGAGTTGGAACTTCGGGGTCCAGCTACCTCACCCACCTCCAGAAGAGTCTTTCTTCTGTGATTATCTTTGAAAGTCCCACTCTGTTCTGTTGCCCTCCCCATATATGGAGATTGGAATGTGCCCTTCCTTACACTCCTGCCTTCACCTCTTCCTGGTTCAGAGGCTTTGACCTGTTCTCGTATTTATCATCTGCCCTTCTTGCCTCCAGTCACCCCCACATTCCTACTGGCCCATTTCCTGGCCCCATCCCTACTGTCTGTGCTGACCCCAGAGAAGGTCACCAGGCAGGAGACCCACCTTGGGGAACATGGTTGCCATGCTGCTCAGGCACTCTCGGCGCTTCTTCTCCAGGTCCTTCTGCTTGTCCGTCCAGGCCTTCAGGCGCAGGTCCTGCAGGTGGTCGATATTCTCCAGGAAGACGTAGAGACTCTGGGCCTTGTAGGTAGCCCCGGTTTCCCGCATGGCTTGTATGTGGCTGATCACTTCTTGTCTGGAGAGAAAGGGAAGTCATTTAGTGGGTTAAGGGGCCTACTTTCCCCCCCAAATCTGTTCATCGGAGATGACTCCACATTTGTAATTCCTGGGAGCAGGAAGAGAAGCAGAAGTTGGGAAGGCAGCGAGGAGAGAAGTGGGAGGCGTTGTCAGGTGAGGAGCCTTGGGGCTGGGCTGGAAATAAGAAAGTAAAGCACATGAGGGAGCATATCAATTGTGTTATGGACAGTGGTGTGGGGCAGGAAGAGAGAAAGAAAGAAGGAAGTGGGCTTAGAGACAAAGCCCACTACAGGGAGAATGGTGTGTAAATACCCTACCTCCCACTCCTTCTGGGTTGCTCAGGGCTTCAGGGGGACTTTTTCCAGGTCTGGGGTTCCCCCCCTTTCCCATGTTCCTCCTTAACCCTTGAATGAGTTTTAGTTGTGCCCACACACCACAGTGGGTGTGGGTGGGTGCTGGGTAGGTGCCAGGGAGAACCTACCGGAGGCTCTGGAAGCATCTGTAGATGATATATTTATGGCACAGGCTCTGCAGCCTGAGCTCGGTCAGTTCCATGGTGGTAGTGGTGAGCTTCAGTGCCTCGCTGCACAGGGGGTTGGGCAGCCCCTGCTTAGCATTCTCACTCAGGAGCTGCAGGTTTTTCCTCTGGGCCTCCACATCCATGTGGTATTCCTTGTTTAGAGTCACGGAGGATATATGCAAAGGGGTCTGGGTCACCTTTCTGATGGATGTCCCTGTGCCAGGAACAGAGGCTGATTTCTTGATCTTTGTGGGAACCCGATGGGTCCATGATTTCAGGGTTAACTCGGGTGAACTCTTGACCCTCTGATATCCTGGAGCAGGCTTCCAGGTATTAGGGGACCTGGGCAAGTGTGGCCTCCTGCCTTGGCCAGCAGATTGGGTTCGGCTTGGGGGAGGGGGCGGTGATGCCTTCTCCAAGTCCCTCCATCGATTGGTGGTCACGAAGATCATCTCCTCATCCTTGCCTGGCTGCTCCAGCTCTCTCCGAGGGCCCCCTTCCCCCTTTTCCAGCTGGACCAATCTCTCCTGCTGCTCCTTTGCCGCTTCCTGCACCGCCCACTGCCGCAGCTTCTCCTGGTGCTCCTGTTCCAGCAGGGCCCACTTCTGCTGCCGCTGCAGCCATAGCTCCTCCTCCTCCAGCCACTGCTGCCTCCGCCTCTCCCAGCTGAGTTCCTCTTCCCAGTGCTCCCCCTTGCTCTCCAAGGCCACCGTCCTAGAGCTCTCTAGAGACAGCTGCTCCCTAACATGGGACTTAATTTGGAGTCCTTCTTTCTCCTGGGCTGCTTCCTGGAAGAAGTCCTTCTGGTCTTTAACTTTGTGGTCTGGGCTCTCTGCCAACATTATTTCCCATTTCTTGTGATCCACTGAGGATGGAAACACAGGCTGAAGACTTTCAGCATCCCTGCTGCTGTATGCATCTGCAATCCTCGAGTGCACAGTCATGAGGGAAAGTGGCTGACATGCTAAAGACCTAGTACCACTTTCCCCAGCACTGGCCCTGGGACTTGGGGAAAGTGGTGAAAATAACGGCTCCTCCATGGCTGATTCTTTCTTCGGGAGAGCCTCTTTCTCAAGTGGGCCCAGAGTGTCAGCTTGACCTTTAGCAGACTGAGCATTCTTCAGCTGAAACTCTAAGTCATGCTTTATCAGGAGAAGGTCATGACACTTTCCCCCTAGAGTTTCTACCTGGCTTAATAGGGCATCCCTCTTATTCTCAAGGATTTGGAGGGAGTTCTGGAAGTCCAGCCTCTGGCTGCTGAGTTCTTTGGTCATCTCTATTTTCAGTTGCCTGTATTTGGTCTCCAGGCTCCTGTTCTCATTGTCCTGGAGGATCAAGGCCCTGTTGAGGTTCTCCACCACAGCAGACATGTACCTGATGGCCCTGACTTCTCCCTGGTTGAACATGGTGGAGTCCAGGAGCTCCTGCAGCATGGACCTCACCTCAGAAACCTTCGCACAGGTAGTATTCTTGTCCTGGAGCATCTGTTCTGGGCTCAGTGGCTGAGGGCAGGATGTCGATTTTTGTAGGTTTTGTTTCTGCCAGCCTTGCCAGAATGTATGTTTGGACACTAGAAGAAGTAGAGAACAAAGGCAAAAAGCTCCCATGGGTCCCAAGGATTACATTGCTTCTCCAGATGCTGCGTGGTCAAATTCCCATCTAACCCTCCTAGATCTTTGGCAAGAAAGGAGCTGGGGTTATGTGTGAGGCCAGGGGAGATATTGTTAGGAGAGATCTCTGCTGGGCTCAGAACTTGCCGAAGGCTTACCTGTCAGGGCCTGCCTACTCCATAACACTTGCAGGACCCAGAGGGGCCTGGAACAATTCAATCCAGTTTAAGTCAATTCAAAGTACTCCTGGTCCTCCATATTTTGCTGGAGTAAAGTTATTATTCCTTCTTTCTTTCTTTTTTTAATCCTCACCCAAGGATACTTTCCCATTGATTTTTAGAGAGAGTGGGAGGGTGAGAGAGAGAACATCTATGTGAGAGAGGCACATCTATTGGTTACCTCCCACATGCACCACAACCAGGTTGAGTCTTCAACCAAGATACGTGCGCTTGACCGGAATCGAACCCGGGGACCCTTCAATCCAAGGGCTGATGCTCTATCTACTGAGCCAAACTGGCCAGGGCTATTTTTCTAATCATGTTACTTCCAGCCTCAATACCTAGTTTGCCAACTATCCAAACTCTGGAAGCCTACCTGGCTCTTAGACTCCCTTTATTTCCCTTTTTTGTTATCACTGAACTGTGTTTGTAGAAAATTTATCACATGGTCCTATAACTGTTCACATGTTTGTTTGTTTTAATGACTAGTGTCTTTTTCCACTGGGGGGTTACAAACTCCTTTGATAAAAGCAGAAGACCTTCTCCCCAGGAAAACATACATAAACACAGATTGTGTACCCTGTGTTTAAACCCATTCATAGACGTCAGCTTCTCAGGGCTGGGTGATGGTCATTGTTGTATCCCCTTGGATCAACCATGTTTAGGGCTTCTGGAGTGATTATCTTACAGCATCCATTCATTTGCCGATTCAATGAATATATTGGCATAAAAACAAATTGTCTAATTTTGGATAAAGGCTAAAGGAAACATGAAAATTAAATGACATTGAAATCAAGCTAGCATCAAGCTAATACTGTCAGAGAGGTCATAAGGCCTATTGGTTCAGAGCTTGGATTCTGGAATTAGATAACTTGGTCTTGAATCCCCTCCTTACCACTTGCTTTATGTAAGTTTCCTAACTTCTCAGTGCCTCCATTTCTAAAAAATGGGAATAATCATAACATGTAATTCATATTATTTAACTTAAAGCATGGTTAGTGCCAAGCATAGTACCAGGTACCTAGTAAGTACTCAATAACTAATCCCTGAAAAGAACTGACTAAGACACAGTCTTTGCCCTCTAGGGGTTTATAATCTGGCAAGAAAATAAGTCAAGTATACAAATAACTATATTTGGAGAAAGAATATGGTAAAGATTGTAGGAGAGATTGTCTCCTCATCTACCTTTCCCTGCTTCCTTCCTCCCCCAACCATGGACCTTGCTTGATAAGGAACCTGGCCTTGAGAGTCAATGGTAAATGCTAATGTTAGCTGTTGTTTATTAAGCCCTGAGCACGTCTAAGTGTAGCGCCAGATGTCTGTACAAGAGGAACCCACAAGTGGGCAGTGTCCTCCTTGTTTTGTATGTGAGGAAAGTGAGGTTCAGAAAGATGAAGTAACTTGCCCAAAGTCACACAGCCAGAAATTGGCACGTGGGATTCAACATCAGGCCTATCTGACTGTGAAGCCTATACTTTTCAGTAAGATTCAGAAACCAGAAAACCAAAGTGTGGGGCCGGGTTTTGCCACAAGCTTTCTTTGTGGTCCCTTCTCTTCTTTGAGCTTCAGTGTTCTCATCTACAGAATGTAGGAGTTAGATCATCTCAGGCCCCTTCTAGTGCTGGTAGGAGTATAATTTCAAGGTTGAACCTTGTTGCTGAGTGACCACTTCTGGAACAGCCACAATTGAGAAGGTTCTGGAACCTCTGGCTGAGTCTCACCAGACTTTTGTCTTGAAGGCTGGGTTTGCAGTAAGAAAAGGATGTGCCTCAGGCTCTAGCTACAAACTCCAGCCTTTCTGGCCTTCTAGCCTTGTTCCCCAGAACTTGCATGAGGCCACAGCTCCAAGGAGCACCAACAGGTGATGGCTCCACGTCACTCCTTCCTCCAGCCCTGAACTCAGAACTGCTTAGCGCTCAGCTTGGGTTTCAGATCCCAACCTCTCACCACTGCCCATCCATCTCAGATAAAGCTTTTGTTTTATCTGAAAAAAATAAAAACACACCCATGGACCCTGGTGTGGGACTTCTCTCCTGAGATGGCATCTACCCCAACCAGCCCCTCTCCTCTTGGAACCTACTTTGTGCCCTTTTCTTTTGTCCTTCAATGAGAGTGGAGCAAAGGGAAATGAGAGATTCGATGCCTCCTTTGGTGGTGATGAGGGAGAGAGGTAACAATTTTTCCATCACCTCAATCCATTCGTCCAGGCCTTCCTCTTCCTTCTCACTCTGCCTGTTACTGATCTCATAGGTCAGACTGTCACCTGGAGAGGAAGTGGAAGATTTAGGCTGAGAATAATCTGTCTTCTAGGGAGCCCCAAGCAGCCCTATTGCGCAGGGGTGACAGCAGCTTTGAGGTCAAGTTGGTTTCACCTTTTACTAGCTATGTGATGTTTGGCGTGTCACTTAGTCCCCTGAGCTCCAGTATCCTTGCCTGTAAAAAGACTGGGTGAAGATTAAATAAGACAATACATGTGAAATGATCAATGTGAGGTCTGCCATGTAGAAAATATATAATAGACATTAAACAGCATTGGTGTATTATAAGGCCAGGGATGTGTCTGCCTTGTTATTGCTCTATCCCCATATTGTCTAGTCCAGGATCTGGACAATTAAGTGAATTAACTGGAGTCAACAGCCCTGCTTAGTTCTTGGGGGCAGCAGAAGAACACATGCCTAGTTGTGGGCTTGATCCCATTGTGGGGCATTCAGGAGGCAGCCGAGCAATGATTCTCTCTCCTCATTGATGTTTCTCTCTCTCTCTCTCTCTTTCTCTCTCTCTCTCTCTCTCTCTCTCTCCCTCCCTCCCTCCCTCCCTCCTTCCCTCCCTCCCTCTCTGAAATCAATAAAAATGTATTTTTTAAAAATAGTCTCAATAAATAGGGGGAGCACAGAGGATTTTAGGGAAGTGAAACTATTCTATATGATACTCTAATGGTGGATGCAAGTCACTTTTTGTCCAAACCCAAAAAATGTACACCAAGAGTAAACCATAAAGTAAACTATGGACTTTAGTTGACAATGACATATCACTGTAGCTTCATCTACTGTAAAATATTTACTGCTCTGGTGAGGAATGTTGATAATGGGGAGTGAGGAAGAGCAAGAGGTATTTTGGAAATCTCTGTACCTTCCCTTCAATTTTGCTATGAAACTAAAACTGCTCTAAAAAATAAATCTTTTTTTTTAATCTCAAAAAAATTTCAATACAGTTGCAAAATACACAATCAACAAAGATCAGTTGCATTCCTATATACTAACAATGAACTATCTGAAAAAGAAATAAAGAAAACAATCCCACTTACAGTACCATCAAAAGCAAATACTTAGGAATAAATTTAACCAAGAAGGTGAAGGATCTCTACACTGGAAACTATAAGACACTGATGAAAGAAATTGAAGAAGACATATATAAATGGAAAGATACCCCAAGTTCATGAATTGGAAAAATTGATATTATTAAAATGTCCACACTACTCCAAACCATCTGTAGATTCAATGCAATATGAATGGCATTTTTTGTAGAAGTAGAAAAAACAATTCTAAAATTTATATAGAACCACAAAAGCCCCCAAGTAGCCAAAGCTATCATGAGAAAGAAAAACAAAACATCAGCCCTGGGTAGTGTGGCTCAGTTGGATGGATGTCATCCCATGCACTGGAGGGTTGCCAGTTTGATTCCCAGTTAGGACATATGCCCAGGTTGTGGGCTTGATCTCCAGTGAGGGGCATACAGGAGACAGTTGATCGATGTTACACTCTCACATTGATGTTTCTCTCTCCCTCTCCCTTCTTCTCTCTCTAAAAATCAATAAAAATATTTTTAAAAGGAAAAACAAAACATCACACTACCTGATTTCAAACTATATTACAAAGTTATAGTAATCAAAACAGTATGGTATTGGCATAAAGACAGACACACAGACCAATGGAATAAGAACTAAGAGCCCATAAATAAACCCATGCATATACGATCAACTAACATTTGACAAGGGAGCCAAGAATACACACTGGTAGAGGACAGTCTCATTAATAAGTGGTATTGGTAAACCTAGACATTCACATACAAAAGAATGAAATTGGACCCCTATCATACCACTCACAAAAATTAACTTTAGAGTTTACTACCGAACTGCGGGCGGGCGCCATGGCGGCCTACGAGCAGGTCCAAAAGGGGCCCTTGAAGCTGAAAGGCGTCGCAGAGCTCAGCGTGACCAAGCAGAAGAAGAAAAAGAAGGACAAAGACAAAGCGAAACTCCTGGAAGCTATGGGAACGAGCAAGAAGAACGAGGAGGAGAAGCGGCGCGGCCTGGACAAGCGGACCCCGGCCCAGGCGGCCTTCGAGAAGATGCAGGAAAAGCAGCAAATGGAAAGGATCCTGAAGAAAGCCTCCAAACCCCACAAGCAAAGAGTGGAGGACTTCAACAGACACCTGGATACACTCACAGAGCACTATGACATTCCCAAAGTCAGCTGGACGAAGTAGCCTTCCCACCCAGAGTATGGGTGGCACCGAGGGGAACAGCAGGCCAGGTTGGGGTTATGTGTGGTGCCTGTGGTATTTTCTAGAAACACTCTACACACACCCTGCGTCTTCTGCTGAGACAGTGCTTTTCAAAGCAGTGTGCCCTCATTCTGGAACTTGATTAAAGTAAGACTATCCTTTTACTCTATTTTAGTTTCTCAGTAGCACATTGACGATGAAGCTTTTTAGTTCGGACTGGAAATTATTGAGAGTTTATTCAGAGGTTAAGTGGAAGTGTTTTTACACCCAAGTTGCATCTAACTCGTGTTGACAGTCCACCAGCTGTCTCTGCCTGGAGGAAACTGCCCCCAGAGGAGGAGCTGCAAGTGCAGACCCTCAGGGGGCCCTGCATGTGCTGCCCTTCCACGTTCCCTCTAGCTGGGGCTTATGCAGTTCCATCCAGGGCCTAGGGAGGCCATTCGCCTGTGGCCTTCAGACTGCCTCAGCCCAGCTGGCCAGGGAGAATAACCGCCCAAGGCAAGGATGGAATGAACGCCTTGCCCCTTTCTGAGCTGAGCTAGTGGCTGGCATGCAGCCTGTTCCCCCAATATCCCTATTCCAGACATGTCAGGTGGGTGTTGCCATGGTAGACATTGCCAGTCAAGTACCACGTTCTTTGTAATGGAACCCAGACACTGCCTCCTGCCTCACTACCTTCACCGCTGAGCTCCAGGCACAGTGTTTGTTCAGAGTTGGCACATTCATGGAACCTGTTTGGCATTCCCGGCCTAAGGACGCCTCAGGGTAATGGGACCAGGGCAGTGACCCACACAGACAGACATGGGTGCAGTCCCAGGGGAGGACCCAGGTTCCAGTACTGCAGAGCCAGTGTCTTTGAGGGCCTGCATGTCCCCCCTGCATGAGGATCGGACTGCATATGCTACTGGAAGAATATGGTCTCTATTGACATACATCTGAAAAAACAACAAATTCAGAAGAAAAAAATCTAAGTGTTGGGTTTGGGGCTGTCATATGTGAACTGCAGAATAAAGCAAAACCAGTTATTAAAAAATTAACTTTAATGGATTAGAGATTTAAATATAAAACCTGAAACCATAAAACTCCTAGAGGAAAACAGGAGAAAAGCTTCTTGATATTAGTATTGGCAATGATATTTTGGATATGACACCAAAAGCAAAGGTAACAGAAACAAAAATAAACAAGTGGGACTACATCAAACTAAAAAGTTTCTACAGTAAAAGAAATGATCAACAAAATAAAAAGGCAACCTACAGGATGGAAGAAAATATTTGCAAACCATATGTCTGATAAGGGGTTAATACCCCAAATATATAAGGAACTCATACAACTCAATAACAAAAAAATGATCCAATTTAAAAATGGGCAAAAGAGCCTGGCTGGCATGGCTCCATGGTTGAACATTGACCTATGAACCAGGAGGTCACAGTTCAATTTCCAGTCAGGGCACATGCCCGGGTTGCCGGCTTGATCCCCAGTGTGGGATGTGCAGGAGGCAGCCGATCAATGATTTTCGGCAGTTTGGTCAATTTGCATATTTGGGTTTTATTATACTATATAATAAAAGGGTAATATGTAAATTGACCTTAACGGCGGAATGACCAGAACAAGGGCTCAACCAGTCATTATGAGGTGCACTGACCACCACTAGGTCCCTCCCCTGAGCCGGCAGGCTCCGATTGCCTGATGGCCAATGGGGAACTGGGAGTGGGTGGCAGCAGGGGGCGGGGCTGGCTGCAGGCAGCCGGGGAAGATGGCCCTGATCACAGGCCAGGCCTAGGGGTCCGTACCAGCGCATGAATGTCATGCGCCGGGCCTCTAGTATAGGATAAGGAAATCCCGCCAGGCTAAGTAAAATAAGTCAGATAGAGAAAGTCAATGCTGTATGATCTCACTATGTGTGGAATCTAAAAAAGTTGAACTCATAGAAATAGAGTAAATTGGTGGTTACAAGGGACTGGGAAGTTGGTATAAATGGGAAGATGTTGGTCAAAGGGGTACAAACTTTCAATCATAAGATAAATAAGTTCTGGTGATCTAATGTACAGCATGGTGACTATAGTTAACAATACTGTATTGTATACTTGAAATTTGCCAAGAAAGTATATCTTAGCCCAGCCAGTGTAGCTTAATGGTTGAGTATTGACCTATGAACTAGGACAGTGATGGCGAACCTATGACACACGTGTCAGAGGTGACAGGTGAATTCATTTTTTGGTTGATTTTTCTTTGTTAAATGGCATTTAAATATATAAAATAAATATCAAAAATATAAATCTTTGTTTTACTATGGTTGCAAATATCAAAAAATTTCTATATGTGACACGGCACCAGAGTTAAGTTAGGGTTTTTCAAAATGCTGACAAGCCGAGCTCAAAAGGTTCGCCATCCCTGAACTAGGATGTCACAGTTCGATTTCCAGTCAGGGCATGTGCCTGGTTGTGGGCACAATCTCCGGGGGGCGGGGAGCATGCAGGAGGCAGCTGGTCAATGATTCTCTCTCATCATTGATGTTTCTATCTCTCTCCCTCTCCCTTCTGCTCTGAAATAAAAATATATTTTTTAAAAAAATAAAGTAGATCTTAAATGTTCTCGCCACATAAAAAAAGGGTAACTGTGTGATGATGAATGTGTTAAGTAACTTTATTGTCATTTCACAATATATACGTATATCACTGTACACTTTAAATTTACACAATGTTACTTGTCAATTAAACCTCAATGAAGGTGGAACATTTTTAAATAAAATAGCTAGGATGAGTAAAAATTTAGTTTCCATCTTGCTAAGAAATGAGATAACATAATGGACCTGTGACGTGGGCTTCATCACATATGGCAGCTAATGTTACATTTGTGCCAATGACGTGTTTGCCACTTTGGGGAATGAAGGTGATGTGTTGTAACATGAGTAGGAGAATGTTTCGCTGGAAAGGCACCACGAGACATCTTTAACTCCCTCCGCACCACCACCCTGCACTCCCCTCCCAGAGAATGTGGACCAACGGTGGCAAAAGCAAGAGCCTGAGCCAGCTGGCAGGCACCGGCCTGCAAACTCACCCCAGTCACCCAGCCAGTGGAGAATTTCGTATAAGTGCTTCTCTTTAGTCTTCGCATCTTTGGAGAAGGAGGCAATTTTCTCCAACAAGATGAATCTTTTCTTGCCCCTTTGCTGTATCTGGCGAGATTTTGCTTTTTCTTTTAAATCATATCCCAGTTCTTCCTGGAAGCGGTTGATGACACAATTGACATTGTCCAAGATTTCGGCGAGCTGGGAAGAGATATCCTATATGGAAGACAGAAGATTGTAGTGTTTAGAGTTGTGAACGCTGGAGCCAGATGCCATGTTCTAGCAGCGTGCTCTTAGGCAAGTCATTTAACCTCTTGGGGACTCTGGGTTGTGTGTGTGTGTGTGTGTGTGTTTTGTGGGGTTTTTTGTTTTGGTTTTTGTAAAGTGGAGATCATTATAGTACCTATGTCACAGGGTTTTTGTAAATATTAAATGAATTTGTAAAGCCCTTAAGACAGTGTCTGGCACATAAAATAAGTAGCTCTTACTACTGTAATTTTGATTATTAAGACCAGGTCAGGGAGAGAATACTAAAAATCCACAGCAAACATTTCTTCAGAATTTCAGAATTTGCTGAGGATGCCTGGACATCTCTCCTCACAAGAGGTAACAGAGTGGAGATGTTAGGCCCCAAGAAACTCAGGATCAGAGGCTCCCATAAAAAATGCACTAGAGGCTCATGAGAAGGGTGATTCCAGCCTTTGGCCATTTTACTACGAGCTTCCGGGACTCAGCATGGGGGATTCTGACAGGTCGCCAAGAACAGACCCAATCATGAATCCTGGGCCCATCTTCTTGCCTTGTTAGGACCCACCCTCTGCATCTCGGGGCCATCCTGGGGTTTCCACTGGCTATTCTCTTCCTGGGCCCTGCCCCGCCTCAAGGGGATGGTTTGACTCAGGCCTGCCCTGCACAGGCCAAGTCTAGGAGGTGGATACTCTGCATTTATCTGTCTGCAAAGCCAGATTGTCAAGGGTCCCAGGATCCCCAAGGCCCAGACCTGGAATCTTGCCAAATCTGAGATCAGTCCCCAACTGCCACATCAGACCGCAGTGGAAGGAGTACTCCCTCATCTCCGCAGTTACCTCCTGAACCCGACTTAGCTGGGCGACCTCAATCCTCGAGATGATGGCTTTCACTGATGCAGGAGTCACCAACTGTGGGGACTTGTCCTTCTCCATTTTGGACCACTTCGTCAGTAACCAAGGCGTCCTGTGTCTCCAGTACCCAAGCCTGGACACGTGATGTTGGCTGCTCTGGGGCAGCTCCTGAGTATCCTATGCCTAGCAACAGCTTCTGGTAACTGCCAGACAGCAGGTTCCAACTGACCTTCTTTTCTCCAGTGACATCATCAGTTTGATTGGAAGAATGACTCCCTGTCATCTATCTTGTAGCTTTACCTAATATATATTACTAGCTTTACCTAATATATATTAACTTCACCTATTGCTTTATATATTTTTATTGATTTCAGAGAGGAAAGGAGAGTGAGAGATAGAAACATCAATGATGAGAAAGAATCATTGATTGGCGGCACGCCCCACACTGGGGATCAAGCCTGCAACCAGGGCATATGCCCTGACCAGGAATCGAACCATGACCTCCTGGTTCATAGATCGATGCTGAACCACTGACCCACGCTGGCCAGGCCACCTGTTGCTTTAAAAAAAAATCATTAAATGTTTTGCTCCCAAACTAATGGCTAAAAATAGGAAAAAGCAATTAGGAAAAGTTCTTTTCCCAAAGAGAACTTTTAAAAAATTACAGCCAATCAGTAACTAATGGGTTAAGATTGTTTTTCTTGAAATATTAATGTTTAATGCATGTAACATTATTATATTTAAAATCGTTTTTCTTGCAGTAAAACAAACAAAATAACTAATGGGAATGTTTATATTTGCACCAGGGATTAGGGCTTAATTAGCACTTTCACTTACTGAAGGTGATCATTACTGCAAGAGGCCTTTTTAAAACAAATGGTTAAGCTCTGGCTGGAGTGGCTCAGTTGGGTGAGCATTGTCCCATACACCAAAAGGTCACCTGTTCGATTCCTGGCCAAGGCATATGCCCAGGTTGCGGTTTTGGTTCTGTTTCTCTCCCTCTCCCTTATCTTTCCTAAAATAAATTTAAAAATTGATATGTCATTTAAAAACAACAATTTTTTAAAAAGATAAAAAATAAAAAACAAATAAAACAACAACAAATGGTTAAAATGAACATTGTAGTATGCCCAGGACCTAGAACTGTGCCTGGCACATAGTAGGCACTTAATATACACTTGTTGAATGAATGAATATATAAGTACATATACATGCAAATTATTCTTACATGCTACTGAAAAGTATTCCCATTTAAGAAATAAGTCATTAAAGTAAATTCAGTTCTTAGCAGTGTTCTTAGCAATGCCATAGCCACTTAATAACTTGTCATCCAACAATCACCTGTCTTTCACACACTATCATTCATTCACTTACTCAGTTACTTCTTTTTTTTCTTTTCCTGTTTTTTAAAATATATTTTTACTAGAGGCCCGGTGCACAAAAATTTATGCACTGGGCGGGGGGGCTCCCTCAGCCCAGCCTGCACCTTCTCACAGTCCAGGACCCCTCGGGGGATGTCCACCTGCCAGCTTAGGCCAGCTCCCTGGGGGATCGGGTCTAAGCTGGCAGTCAGACATCCCTCTGGCAGCACAGGAGTTCTCCTAAGCCATTAGACAGACATCCTTACAGCTGCTGCGGAGGAGAGAGAGGCTCCCGCCACCGCCACTGTGCTGGCCAGCCATGAGCCGGCTTCTGGCTGAGTAGTGCTCCCCCTGTGGAAGCGCACTGACCACCAGGAGGCAGCTCCTGCGTTGAGCGTCTGCCCCCTGATGGTCAGTGCACATCATAGTGACCAGTTGTTCCCAGTTTGCCGTTAGGGTCAATTTGCATATTACCCTTTTATTATATAGGAAGGAGGACTAGTAGGCCTGCACATGAATCTGTGCCAGTAGCTCATTGCCGCCCTCCTGTAGTTCCCTCTGCCCCTCCCTCATAGCTTGCTGCCCTGCCCCCTCCTGTAGCTCTCTGCCACCCACTTGTAGCCAGTAGCTCGCTGCCGCCCTCCTGTAGCTCCCTCCGCCCCCCTGCCCGCCCCCATAGCTTGCTGCCCTGTCCCCTCCTGTAGCTCTCCACTGCCCACTTGTAGCTCCCTGCCCCACCCTCCTGCTGATCCGTGATCAGATCGTTAAGCAGTCAGTCGTTATGTAACGACCATTTGCATATTACATCTTTATCATATAGGATTGTTTTCAGAGAGGAAGGAAGAGGGAGAGAGAGAAAAACAGTTACTTCTTTGTTATTTATTTTTTAATATACATTTTTATTGTTGGTAGTATTACAGATATCTCCCATTTCCTCCCCTTCCCCCCCTCCTCCCAGCCCCTACCCACCTCCCCAAAGTTACTTCTTTCATTGACTCATTCACTTAACAACACTTACTGGTATCATTCTATGTGTCAGGCACATGGCTAGGTGCTGGAAATGTAGAAACAAATGAGATCTGTCTCTGAGCTACTCATACCTTGGTTTATGGTACCTGTCTATATGTCTGTCACTGGATAATCCTTTAATCCTTACAATTTCAGAGCATGTTGTAGTTTATAAATAACTTATTCATCTTACAAACATGTGCTAGGCAACTATAGCTCAGAGTAGTAAGGAGATTTACCTAAAGTTACAGAGCTGGGAGGGACAGTCAGGACTTCAACCTGGTTTCCCAGCTCCCAATCCAGGGTCCTTCCCCCCCCCGCCCCTTTCTGACTCCCTTCTTTTCTTCTTCCTTTTAAACCCAACATACTGATAATTAAATTACATATAAATGACCTAAACATCCAATTAAAAAATAAATATTGTAAGATTCAATTAAAACCCAAGACTCAACTATCTGCTGTCTATAAGAAACGCACTTTAAATAAAAAGATACTTATGGCCCCGCCAATGTAGCTCAGTAGTTGAGTGTCAACCTATGAACCAGGAGGTCATGGTTAGGTCTGGTCAGGGCACATGCCCTGGTTGTGGGCTCTATCCCCAGCAGAGGGTGTGCAGGAGACAGCCGATCAATGATTCTCTCTCATCATTGACGTTTCTATCTCTCTCTCCCTCTCCCTTCCTCTCTGAAATTAATAAAAATATATTTAAAAAAAGATATCAATGTAAAAAACATTCAAACCTATAGAGAATTTTTGTGAGTTTATTTGAGCCAACCAATTTGATAATTGCCCAGAAGCAAAATCTCAACTCATTGAGATAATGCTCCAGAGAATGGCAGGTTTGTACCTTACTTTATACATTACAATTAAAAGAGAAGACACAAGTAGGTTACATGAAATTCATTGTTGATAGGTTAGAGGGAGGTAGGAGACAGCAAAGCAGGAAAATCTCTGGGATTGGATGAAAAGTAAAATGATAGACACATACGTCTTTTACCTACATATAGTTAACAGTTAACATGATAACAAACCAAGAAGATTTATGGTTTCTGGTGTGGTATGTTGGTTGTGCCCTAAGGGGTCTGGGGAAAAAAGGGAGTTACCCTGACATTTCAAAGATATGTTATCATAGATACAAAAGACATAAGACAGGCTTAGGTAAGTTAAAGATGTACTTTTTGTCAGAGAAAGTCTAGCCTAGGCCATGACTACCTGCCATAGACTGCTTTTAGTTAAAAAGTTTTTATTTCAGACCATCCTTTGTGGTTACTTTAGGTCTCTGAGTTTGCAAAGTCACCATGCAGTCAGGCCTCTTTTCTTCCACAAAGAAAAACGATGGAAAGAGATAAGCCATGCTAATACTAATCAAAAGAATGTTGGAGTGGCTATATTAATAACAGATTTTTGAACAAGAAATATTAGCAAAGATTAAAAGGGAGGGACTTTCCATATCAATAAAGATGTCAATTAATAAAGGGGACATAACCCTATCTGTGTATGCCCCTAATAGCATAGCTTCAAAATACAGGCAGCAAAACAAAAACAAAAACTTACAGAAGTGGCCCTAGCCAGTTTGGCTCAGTGGATAGAGGGTCAGCCTGCAGACCGAAGGGTCCCAGGGTCGATTCCGGTCAAGGGCACGTACCTCAGTTGCAGCCTCCTCCCCAGCCTGGGCCCTGATCAGGGCACTTGCAGGAGGCAACCAATCAATGTGTTTCTCTCACATTAATATTTCTCTCTGTCTTTCCCTCTCTATTCCACTCTCTAAAAATCAATGAAAGCCCCCGTGGGGCACAACCAAATGTGCTGGACGCCAGGACAGATACCACAAATTCCTGCACCCACTTAAGTAAGTGTCCCTCATTTTACTTTTTATCCAATCCCAGGGATTTCCCCTACTTTGCTTTATCCCACCTCCTTAATCTATCACCAATGAATTTCATGTAACCCACCTATGTCCCTCCTTTGATTGCAATGTATAAATACAAATGTAACCTGCCATTCTCTGGAGCACTATCTCAATTCATTGAGGTTCTGCTTCCCGGCATATGTCGACAGTTTGGCTCAAATAAACTCACAAAAATTCTTAAAAAAAAAAAATCAATGAAAGAACATCCTAGGGTGAGGATTAAAAGAAAAAGGAATTGAAAAGAGAAATGGATAAATCCACAATTGTAGAGATATCAATACTTTTCTTATAGGAATTGGGTAGAAGTAGGAAAAGTAAGTAAGGATATAGAGGTCAACCAACACAATTCCATTGACTTTGTGGACGAAAGGGGCCACGTGCTAACCTGACAAGCTCAGGGAAGGCCTGCATGGCGGTCTTGCAAACTCAGAGACCTAAAGTAACCACAAAGGATGGTCTGAAATTAAACTTTAACTAAAAGCAGTTGTGGTGGGTAGTTACATCCTAGGCCTGTATCTTCACTGACAAGGTCAACCTTTACCTTAACTGAGCCTATCTGTCTTTTTGCATCTATAATAACATACACTTGAAATGTCTGGGTAACTTGTAACTTCCCTTTTTCTAGACCCCTTGGGGCACAACCTAATTAATGTGCCTGGGTGCCAGGACAGATACCATAAATTCCTTCATTGTTATCATGTTAATTGTTCTGCACCCACCTAAGTATTTTATCCAATCCCAGGGGTTTCCCCGCTTTGCTTTCTCCCACCTCTCTAGTCTATCAACAATGGATTTCATGTAAC